AATTTTTCCCAAACGCGGCAAATTCTTTCGAAAAGCCACTTAGACCCCCCCCCTACTCCCAACAGCGATACGCCCCCTCTTCCCAGCCCAAAAGTACAACCCTGTGTGTTTCTCACAATGATGCTGTACCCTGTATCGAGTTATTCAAGGCACAGAGCGGGAGTCAGCACTGGTCCGTGGTAGGATAACCAGTTCGTGGAACTACCATTTTGATTTGACATCCTGATCGCTGTTGCAACAGGCCAAAAACAGTGACGGTCCTGGCTCATCAAAATGCAAATAAAAAGTTCTTCGAGTCATTGCAGCTTTTTGACAATGACGATTCAGTCGAGTCATCGGGCATGCCTTCATACTGACAACCTTGTGAGGCACAACAATACAGAGACAATCTTAATGGCAAGTTTTCAAGAAGACCGAATTTGAAGGTTATTACTCTGTTAGTTTCAGCGCGTTACCGCAAAGACCCCATCATCGCGAAAGCCAACTCACCGACGGTTCCACCTTATGAGCGGCAGTGTCCGCTGCCACACAAGAGCGATAGTTAGTTGTAAATGAGGAATACTGCGCTGTCTCCGTATAATAGAATATTGCGGAGACGCACGTAGCGCTCTGTCATTCTACAGCTCGCAGTGTGGTATAAACGGCAGAAGGTCATTTGTTATTGCAGGACACTCATCTCGGCTGTTCATTCTGGGTTTTCTGGTGAAAATCCAGAATGCTTCTAATGCGATGATGGGGTCTTCTCGAGGGGTTCCTGACACGATATCGGAACCGCTAGAGTTGACGAGGCGCGTGGTGGGGTAGAGCGTAATCTAATCCTTGAAACACATTCAGGCCTCTGATGAGTCGAAACGTTAGGCCATATGGAATAAACAGTTCCATCTATCAATCCTCGTAAGGCACAAAACAAATTGAGAACGTTATCGCAGTGTCCTGTATCAAAAACTACATCAAATTCAATGTTGAAGTGAAAAAGAGGAGCTAAGAATCAGGTAGAAATGAGAAACAGTGAAAAAGGATTGAATACCGGAAGAAAGAACATGAAGGGAAGCTGGAGTCTTTTACAATTGCATCGCGACGCTTGCAGCGCGACAGCACAGGTCTGATCCCTGCCTAAGAGGAGCGGCAGCAATTTTAGCATCTCTCGGGCAAATGTCTTACCAAAGCGGGAATACCGACTGCGAGAATTACTGCCGCCTCTGAACTCACGCAGCCGTTGAAGGATTCTCATCTAGTCTTTCTGATGAAAATGAAAAGATTTTGTGATTCTCTCTGCTTTTCACTATTCTCTATAGATTTGTTGAATCTCACCCACTTTCAGACCTTGTATTTCCTTCTCTTCAAAGATGATTTTGTCATCGAGTTCAGCTACATAGTTAGGACCACGGAATCCATAAGCGGCAGCCAACTGACGTTCGATGTTATGAATGTCGTTCTGTATATCGTTTTGCATCTGAAATATAATCATTCAGCGGCATGTTTTCAAACTGTTCAAGGTGGGGGTGACATAGAACAAAGCACAGAAATCGTTAACTTGAGACTGACTTGTTGATGACAAATGCAAACCAACCATTTTCATGCTAACAGCATTACGCATTTCATTTTCGGCCTCCTCCTTTTCCTTCATCATTCTAGCAATGTCTCTTGCGATGGAATCAATATTCGATCTTAAGCGGTCACGTTTCAACTCCAGCTGCTGGAATTCTGTTGAGGAGTCAATCTGAAAGACGAGTTTCTATTCGAATTCACATCCAGTGAGTGCAGAATCCAAACAAACTGTATTGAGTACAGTGTGCGCGATAGAAAGGTCTCTAACCAGTCGGATTTACAGGAACTAAATACAGCGACACTGAAACCCAGAAGGGACAAGACGGCCAGAAAGACATAAATCAGGGCCGCTATTCACCGCTTCGATCAGGAAGTAGACGAGCATACGCCCCATATGGCTTATCATGAATTGCCAGGAAGTACCTTTTAGAGAGAACCTCGACAAAGTGAAAAAAAATACCATTAGCAGCCTACTGCGGCTGCGATCACCATATACAATCCAAATCGACGCTGTTCGGTGCAGCCATCTGTAGGCGTGTAGGTTTCGATGAGAGTTCAGGTGGCACTCTAATGGTAAAGCGCTAAAAGGCACCTTCGTTTGGGAAAGGCTCCACACAGTTTTCCCCCAAAGGCATGATATCATTCTGTACTGCGCACATATCTGGTCAAATAAGCGCGACATTTGCAGTTAACGAAATGGAATTCAAACTCTTAGGTGGTCTTGTTGAAATAGAAGAATGACACGAAGCAAGGTGTAACGAGCAAAAATGTACTGTATCCAAATGGAAACATACACTTCCACCAGTAGATTGGAGAACAGGCCTGCTTGCGTGCAGTACTGCTAGCGCTGACAAACCATAACCCAGAGGACACATCTTTCTCTGATGACATATGGTTTGTAGATGGAGCCAAGTTTGAGCTGCATTCAAGGCAAACGACTGATCCTCCTGCTGTCGCACATTTCCATGCAATATTGAAGCATGCAAAGCTCTCCAGCTCCTGAGCATGGGCTTCGGAAGGTATCTCTACATCTCATCCCTTTTTATGGATCCCTTGATCCTGTTTGAACGCCACCCCATTCTATTTTTGCTAGAGGTGACCTATATACCGTGCCTTGGCGCGAGAACAAGATTCAGCTAAGTCAAGATTCTTCGTCACCAGCGACTTGCAATGTGCACCTGTATAGTCAATTTGTACCCAAGTTTTCATGAACATTAGATGTCGGTATGGAAGTCTCCGACGGAGCTTGGCTAGGCTCACATATTTCGCGTCATCTTCTGACGCGGCGAAGCCATAATTGCAATGATGCGAGAAACACCGCTCACTTCCGGCGTACGCTTCCAACACCGTGACGGGCTCGGCTTGGCTCACGTGTGCTCTGTACACCTTGTCCCATGCCCTACCTCTCAATCCTCGCCTGACCTCTCCAAGTAGCTCTTCAGATGAAACCGACTTTCAGGATGAACAAACATTATTGATGCTTGAATATGTCCTGACTGTTATACTTGTAGAACATTCTCGAAGCCTTTTCGCTAGAGGCAAGTGAAGGGTGTGCTCTGCTCTTTGTTCAGCCACGATGTTAATTTCACTGTAGCTTCGAGTCGCCATCTTCTACGAGTGGCGCCGCGGCAGTGGAGCGATCAGTTGTCTGCAACATCGACGATGCACCGGGGCGACACCGCTACCATCGTCATCGTCCACTGTTGGTCCTCTAGCTTCGCAAAAGGAGAACGGAAGAAACCCTTCCAATCCTCGTGCAGTGGAAGACTCCGTCTTGCTCAGTGCTGCCGAAGAGGGTCTGAAGCCTAACACCCGCAGTCTTAGGACGGGACTCGGATGTATCTAACCGACAGTCGTTCCGTTTCAGAACCCTCGGCATTCGAAAAGCACCGACTCAGTGTGTCTCAAATACCTCGATGGGTGGCACGCGATACATCCCCGCACCCATTGCTCAGTCTCCCGTGCCCTGCCCTAGTCAAAAGGAATTCTTGGAAAAATGGTCAGTGAATATGAGATAGCAGTCTGGCTGACGCGCATTTCTGCGTTACTGGTACCTATGTTACTGGTAACTGGCAGGATTTCTGTGCTGAGCACTAACACTGAGCCTAATTCCTATGTTTCCAAAACGGCCCATTTCATCATGTTTCTCCCTTTTAATGAACACTTGCCAATGTTAGGCTCATATCATATTTCTAAAATCACCATTCGTTGGAAATCGGACAGCATAGCGGTTGGAAGGATTCCGATGGTAAAAATATCGAAATCATAGTGGCTCTTATCATCCCTCACTTGCAACAACTCCAAACATCCTGTTTTCGGGGAACTCGAGCGTTTAGCGGTGGAAGCAATTCCGACCGCTAAACTGAGGGATTTTGCTAAGGGAAAACATCTTGACTCATTAAGAATTCGCCCATTCATTCTTTGGCTACGGTGATGTGAGCAGATACGGACTCCCAAAAGCCCTCGTCGGACACTGTCAGAATTTATCTCCCACCTTTAATGTTCCCTAAGTACCTCTGAATTACTTGCTGGAGCAGTTCCCAGTGTTGCTACAACTCTGCTGTGAATTTTCCTGGCTATCTTATCAGCTGTTATCAATTCCTGCCACCCGCCAATAATGTTCCCATCCTGCCCCCTGTCTTACTTCTTGGAACCAACGTCCCGTCGTTGCTGTGGGCGGTGTATGAATTTGGTGACCCTCGCTTTCTAAGCCCCTTATGGTATCTTATCAGCTGTTATCAATTCCTGCCACCCACCAATAATGTTCCCATCCTGCCCCTATCTTACTTCTTGGAATCAAAGTCCTAGTGTTGCTGTGACGCGCGTTATGGAGTTGGTGACCCTCGCTTTCTAAGGCCCCTATGGTATCTTATCAGCTCTTATCACTTCCTGCCGCTCACCAATAGTGATCCTGCCCGACCTCCTACATCACTCATAAGTTTGAACTCTTGCGATGAAATCAAAGGGAGTTACGAATTTCCGGTCAAACACACATACACACACCCAACAGACAAACTTAGCGGATTATATATAGTAGGATGGGTTCTCTACGACTCCAATTTACAAAATACAGTGTGATTAGCACGCCAAACCGGCACGCTTCCCCAGAAGGCTTTCTTGAGCTGCTTCTGAGACCAAAGGGAATACTTTAGAATGGGCTATTAATCCTACTATATATAAACGGCGACGTCTGTCTGTCTGTCTGTCTGTCTGTCTGTCCGGAAATTCGGAACTACCTGAAGAGCCAGTCTCAGGGGGCGGGTCAAGGTTGGGATGGGTACGGGCTTATGTATGTATAGTAAACGGCGGACGTACTGTCCTGTTGTCTGTTTGTCTGTCTGTCCGGAAATTCGGAACTACCTGTAAGAGCCAGTCTCAGGGGGCGGGTCAAGGTTGGGATGGGTAGGGCATGGGCCAAGATGTACGAAACACACGTGAACTAGGCTAAGCCCCGCCCACTGTGGGCGGCGCGTGCGCATAGTTGTGAGCTTCATATTTCAAAAATTCGTAGTTCGATTCCAAAAAAGCCCCGAGAGCGAAGAAAAGTGGCAAACGATAGGCAATTAGTCCGTGGACGAAATGACTGAAACAAACCCATTTTGGGCGGGGCGTTCTACAGATGGGCGGTGCTTGCTTCGAGATTTTCAAAAATTCCCAGTTCGGTTCCAAAAGAGCCCCGAGAGCGGAAAAAGTGGCAAACGATAGGCAATCAGTTCGCGGACGAATGACTGAAACAAACCCATTCTGTGCAGGGCGTTCTGTAGGTAAGCGGTGCCTGCTACGAAACTTTCAAAAATTCGTAGTTGGGTTCCAAAAAAGCTCGGAGAGTGGGAGAAGTGGCAAACGATAGGCAATCAGTTGGCGGACGGAATTAATGAAGCACACCCGTGATGGGCGGAGCGTTCGCCGAAGTGGGCGATGCCGAGGACGAAAACCCTCGAAACGCATCCGAAAAAACCCCGAAATGGGGAGTGAGCTGAAACTAAACAGTGGTATGGCAGATGAACATAGTGAGGGGATAATCGTAGGGAGTATCCAAATGGTTGGTACCGTCGGCAATAGTTTGCAGTGCCGCATAGAAAATTTTGATGGCTGTCTACTAGGGGGGGTATATACTAGAAGTGAAACGGTAAAGTGCGGTAATTCTCAAAATAATATTTCTTTCGACCATTCGTCCGACTGGCCCTCCCTCACATGGAAAACTTCTCACAGGGACCCACTTCACACGCGGAAGAGATGCCGGCGCGGCGAAGGCCGGCCGATCCGACTGGTTTCAAGATAACAACGTGATCACCGCTAATATTAATGCTACTGATTTCCACACATCTTGGTAACTGTTCGAGAAGTGTGACTGAGGCCCGCTTCGGGGCACCTCATTCGGAAGACTTCGCACTGCTATGGAGACCTATAAAAACTCAAGAGGAGCAAGGCTGGGAGACCATACCCCTCCTCTACACCCTACCGACATAGCTCCTTTTGACTACAACTTGTTCCTCACCGTGCAGGCCCTCTGAGGTTAGCGACTTCTACGACAGCCTCACTTCTCGAGAAGAGGAATGCTGACTTGCCCATTAGATGGAGCACTGTAGTGGCTGACAATGGGATTATAAAATGTTTTATTTTATACCGCATGTTGCGTTAGAGAACAAAGAACAAAGAATCATGACAACTACAAGTCTCTTTCTACAAACCTGACAGCAGGGACGACTTCCAGCAAACGTACTAACCTCATGTATCTCAGCACGCAATTCCTTTTCAGTACCCGGATATGGGGCAACTTTAATTGTGCAGAGCTGCTCGCTCAACATTCGCAATTCTGCCTTCTTTATTTCTAAAAGTATTTCCTGACATTGATATGGCAAATAGCTAGTAATTTTCAACAAGAAAACGGTTCATACCTGCTTTTCTCTCCAATTCTTCCATTTCTAGCAGTTTCTTATTGGATTTCTCTATGATCTCAGTGCACACCTTTATTTTGGCATCCAAATCACGGATCTTTTCTTTAGACTCCTTACGTAAAGCATTGCATGAATCTCGTTGGTGCACGTACTTTAAAACAATCCCTTTTAGATGATGGATGACCTGAGAGTAAGATCATGTGGAACCTTGATCTTGGACTTGACCACCATCTCTTTGCAAGACTGTTTTTCGAGAAGAGCTGCCAGTTGACCTTCCTGAATGCCAAAATCCTAAATAGCAAATTTCGAGAGGGGAAAAATGACCTCTAAGACATACGTAATCTTTTTTCATTTTTTTCATGACTTCCATAGCCTTGACAAATCTAGTCAACCGGAAAATCCGGTCAAATCTCAATTTCAATTCCTTCGGTTCGCTGAGAGGCCTGTAAAGTGAAGTTGGAATGAGAAACCAGCTGCCAATAAAAGGGGCAATTTATGCATTCTGTCTATAGAAACTTCAAACCAATTCGAATCTTCCTGATGGCAGAATATCACATTATCCAATATCGCAGCAGGAACACCGAGAAGGTTGACAATCTAAGATGATACTGTTTATGAAATGATCTACATAATGATTTCCAAAGAGAACTCGAACCGGCCTCTTTCTGAAAGTCAGCTACTTTGGACGAGAGACTGTGAACTTGCCCATCTTTCAATGTAATTTGTATGTTAAACTCATCAGATTTGCACTGAAGTTTTCCTTGCTGAAAGAAATAGCCCTGAGAGAGCGTT